TAGTGATTCTTCGTATTTTATGTAGGAATGACGCGTCGAATGGAAGCGATCGAGAACAAACAACGCTAAGTTATTAAAGGATTTTTTGAAACTTAACTTCTCTATGTAGAAACGAAGAAAATATGCCAGAGCCCAAGTGGCTTAATTAGCAGCGAAGAGGGCCCTTTTAAAAATTTGGCATGAACAATTTGGCAATCATTTGTATCGCTTGGTAAACAAAGGCTCTTACAATACCTACCTCTTTTGGGATTAGGTCTATAAGGCCAAGTTTCGACTCTGGATCCGAAAATTGAATATTCATCTCAATGCTTTCCAGCTCCAAACCACCTCGTGCTATGCGATGAGAGCGGATTAGTGAAGCAGTCTTGACGAGGTGACGCAAGCATGTACGAAGTTCATGCAGCGAGGAGATCGTACCCAACTGAAATATGAAAAATGAGTGCTTAGAAAAATGCGAAAAGAATATACCTTAGGGACAAAGGGATGGCAATACAAATGATATATTAATAGCTCTAATTGAATTAGATTAAGCCCTACGATATAAAAATAAACTTATAGAAGGTATGAAGAACAATACGGTGTAGTCTTTTGTATGTCCGCAGTTTTATTGTGCTGCGCAGAAGTTTTTGATCATGATCTTGCAACTTGATAATATTGTACGAAGAACGAGAGGAAAGCACCTAGTTCGGAGTCCATAGTAGGCCTGGTAATTTCCAGAGTCCGACCGTGGACTTGGTACATTCCCAGACGTTTCACCGGCTTGTCCATGAGCCTTGCCATCCTTAGCACCACAGTACAAATCGTCAGAGACACGTGAAGCCGATCCTTTGACCCAATGATTCCTAAACTGTGCGCCGAGGCGCTCAGGGGAGCCGCGGCCTCTTTACAGGGGCGCCGCAAAATATTGTAAGAGCTTATAATTAATTTAACCCAGACATTTGGCCTAACTAAACAAAAAGGTGAGAGAAAACGCTGGGTCTTCTCGACCGCGCCATATGATCGCACTAGACACTTCGAGGTGTGTAGAACCTTCGTGACAGATTTGGAATGTTCTGGAAGATCTTGCGTAAAGTATATAAGCAAGTGGTGCCGGCTCGATTCAGTCAGTTGACTTATAATTTGAGTCTAGTTAAGTTAAACTCAGCACTTCATATATAAATAATCAGTGAAAAATTAATAAGTTCATATTGTAATTTAGTTAATGTTATATTACCTCTTGTTTGTTGTCTTTGATAAATAATTTTGTGATTTTGGGCTCTTTTATCTTTGATAATGGACTGATTTTTGAAGATTTATAAACGTAATAGTGCAGATAAAGAAAGTATGCCTTTTGCCAGTGGCACAAGCGTGAAGAAATAAAAATATCGTAAATATGATGACAGTTATTTAGAGTTTGGTTTTACGTCAACAAAAATTAATGGTGAAGAGAGACCACAATGTTTATTGTGTATGGAAGTTTTGTCAACAGAGTGTATGCTTCCAAGTAAATTAAAGCGCTATTTAGAAGCCAATCACAACAGCATGGTTAGCAAACATCGTGATTTTTTAGCTAGGAAGTTAAAGGAACTAAAACAACAACAAAATACATTTCTAAAACTGCATCAATATCAAACAACACTTTGCTAGCATCTCGCAAGGTGGCTTACAGAATCGCGAACTGTAAGAAGCCTCATATCATCGCAGAACTTATTCTACAGACTGCCATAGACATGGTGGACATCATGGTTAATGAGTCCGCAGGAAAGCTGCTTTTAGAAGTGCCTTTGTCCAATAACACAATTAGTAGGAGAATACAAGATATTGCGGAGGATATCAACGATCAATTAATTTAAAAAATTAAAGGAGCCCAATTTGGATTGCAGATAGATGAGGGTATGGATAATAATAAAGATGCGCACTAGATATGCTATGCACGGTTTATAAATGTTAAAAATATTAAAGAAGGTATAAAGACCAAGATGATGTGGCCTTTTGTGTGGTCAAAGTTTCCTTTTATTGTATAGAAGTTGTTTGACCTTGTTTTCGTAACTTTGTGATATTGGTAGGAAGACTTAGAGGAACGCACCTAGTCCGAAGTCCATTATATGTAACATCATTTACAAAGTCGGAACGTGGACGTGGTACATTCCCACACATTTCGCCGGCCTCGTAGTCGGCATCGTCAGAGAGTCTCGCCATTCGTAGCACTATATTACAACCCATCAAAGAGACAAGTGAAGCCCATCCTTTGACCAAACGTGTGCTAAACAGTCGTGGTATCTCCTCTTGTGCCCTGGGCTATTCACATTTCCTATATCCTCCTATCATGCCTTCTCTGTCACAATTTTTTACCGTGCCCCTGCGAGTGGAATTCATAAAAACCCTTCACACTCCACACTGTCGTTATCACCACCTTCGCCCTTGTGATGGGAAAGTTGACCAGAGTCTGTCATATTGTTACGTAGTCCTTCCCTGGATCCTATCAGAGACTCCCTCTTGCCCTGTAGAATCCGTCTGCTATCTCCCTGGTACATGTATTTCACTCTACCCCTGCCCCCCCTCTGTGCTGCTCGAGGCGTAATTCATCCATCCCCTGCACTTGGGTGATTGATTAGAGGCTAAAGCCTCAGAGAAAGTCTCATGGTCATGCGTTTGCTACGTGGTCCACGTCTAAGACCTGCTGTCAGCCAACTAGCTCCAATCGCCGCCTCGTCTATTCTGTCTCTATTCCTAATAACAAATCTATGACTTGTCATGCCCTAGTCGCTTGTGTGCCAACCCACAAATGCTGTGGTACTGCTTGCTTTGATCAAGTTCAATGTTGAACCACAACATTTGTGGGTTAGCACACAAGGGACTAGGGCATGGCAAGCCATATACTTGGTATTAGGCATAGAGACAGGATAGACGAGGCGGCGATTGGAGCTGGTTGACTGACAATAGGTTTCACAAGAGACGTGGTCCATGTAACAAACGCATGGCCATGAGACTTACTATAAGGCTTTAGCCTCTAATCAATCACCCAGGTGCAGGCAATAAACGAATTACGCCTCGAGTAGTACAGATAGGAGGGCGCAGGGGTCGAGTGAAATACATGTACTAGGGAGATAGCAAACGGATTCTACGGGGCAAGAGGGAGTCTCTGATAGGATCCAGGGAAGGGCTACGTAACAATATGGCAGACTCTGATCAACATTCCCAGCACAAGGGTAAAGGGGGTGATAACGACAGTGTGAAGTGTGAAGGGTTTTCATGAATGCCGCTTGAAGAAACACACAACACTACATTAAAAATAAACACGGTAAAAATTGTGACAGAGAAGGCATGATAGGATATAGGAAATGTAAATATCCCAGGGCACAAGAGGAGATACCATAACTGTTTAGCACACGTTTGGTCAAAGTATGGGCTTCATTTGT